AATAAAAACAAGCAGCAAGAAAAACAAGGAATTAATACTGTACTTGATTTACGTATGTACAAATTGAACTTGGACAAATGCATAAATTATTAAGGTAGTTGACTTTCTACATAATTTATGTCACAAGGAACAGTTTTCCACAATATAATAGACATGGCTATCCTTCAGTCAATTAAACTTTGTTTAAGACAATAGCTCCCATGGAAATAATTCCATAAAATGTAGATGGAGATGTAAAACATTTAATCTGTTAAAGATTGTTGATATCAACAGTTTTATCACTGAACAGCTGTCATATGTTAGGAAAGTGGGTTAGATAATAAAGATAATTTGTCAAAGGTTAATTCTCAGTTATTTATTTAAACAATTTATTTCATTAGTTGCGATTCGTGGATACTCTTGCATTAGATTTTAAGGTGTTTGTAAAATGCCTGTTTCTGTGTTTTCCTCCCAGTATGCCAAACTAGAGAAGCCTGGAATGAGGCCAACCTAGAGAATGTTAGACATGCTGCAATTTAGAAACCATTTTATTGTGTATCCTGGAGGAAGTGAACTGCTAACGCACTTTCTAAACATGGTTTTATATACAAGAATTGAGTCTGCCTCAGCTTTCTGGTCTGTACTCTAGGGAAAATAATCATACCAGCTTCAAGCAACACTTTTAAGGACTGAATAAATAAGCATAGATAAAGCCTTCAAGTCAAAATCAGCGAAATTGTTAGCATTCACTCCATGGGAGCTATCACTCTTATTGATCCCTTTCCTTCAGGATTCTTTCAAAGTAGGAAGCTGCCTCAGAAATGCACTATACATTTTAATCATTACTCTCTTCTTACTCCATATTCATTTTCACTCTCAAAACCTTAATATTCCTTTTGTTTTTGTGGAGGCACTCAGCATCTTGGCCATTACATTTCAGTTTCCTGAGTTTTTCCATCTCCATTACATCTTTCATTTCACTAGCAATCATACCACAGGATGTTGCAGAAGGGGCCTCACCATCATTTCACAGTAGGATAAGCGTATGTTTTGCGTTAGCCTCCTGCCCTTCCTGACACTGCCATGCATTTTTAGTTCCTTTGTACACAATGAGATGGGAAGATGCCAAAATCTTTCAGTTTCCTTTCTGTTGGTTTGAACTAATAGCTCTGAACCCATCTATCTTAAGAAATAAGACTTAAAATTGTTCTATGTAAATGCACTGTCATAATTAAGAGAGCAGCACTATATTGACATAGCACTTTGTAATTCATAGAATCCATCTGTCCATGCATAAAGGCTCTATCTCATTTCATATTTTTAGTTTTCTACAGCATTTCTTGAACATACATACTAAACCAAATGAATTACTTTATTTCCCCTAAATATTGTTCAGTGATGTGTTTAATATATGATTTGATGATAATTCCCATAGTATGGATATACTATTGTTAAGAAAATGACTTTTTGGATATATTTTAGATTATTATTAATCATAATTTCAAAATATACTTGACATTTTTCTTTTTATTTAAATTAAAAGCAAAATTATTTTACATACAAATCCCAGTTCCTTCTCCATCCTGTCCTCCCATGCTCCCCACCAACGCCCCATCCCATAACCCATCCACTCTCCAGGAAGGATGAGGCCTCCCATGGGGAATAATCAAAGTCTGTCACATCATTTGGGGCAGAGTCTTGGCCCTCCCCATGTATCTAGCCTGAAAGAGTATCCTTCCATAGGGAATGGGCTCCCAAATTCGGTGCACTAGGGATAAATGCTGGTTCCCCTGTCAGAGGTCCTATAGATTGCCCTGGCCTCCCAAATTGCATGAATTCTGGGAAAGGGACAGCTAGCATCTCATAGAAATGAGCCTCTTTATTACTCATCCAATAGAAAGTACTTGGCCCTGAAGCTGTATGCACAAAACAACAAAAACACATACAGCAGGAAAAAATTTCATATTTTTACATATATATGTATGTATATAATAAACAAAGAAAAGAAGCTGTGAAGTTGAAAGTGAGTGGCATGAGAGGTATTTGTTAGAGGAAGGGTACATGGGAAGGACTTGAGGGAGGAAAAGAAATGGGAAAAGAAATGATTATGTTTTAACTAAAATATATTAAAAGTCCTTAACAAATTAAAAGTAAGATTAAATTAAACAAAACAAAAGGTATTAACACGATGGCGCATGGTTTTAATTCCAGAATTGGGAGCAGAGGAAAGTTGATCTCTGTGAATTAAATCTACACAGTGATTCTTAGCTCAGGCAGAGTTAACTTTGTTCTCATTTCAGCTCATTATCCATTATTCTCTTTGGTCACATGGCAGAAATGTAATTATCTGGTATTCCATGATGTAACTGTTCTTTATGCAAATAAAAAGTCTGTAAAAATGTGGTAGTTAATTTATGAAAAAAGAGATGGTTCCTTGGGTCAAACAAAACAAAACAAACAATATCTTGTTTCAGCTCCATCCCTGTAACATACATGATATATAGGGAGAACTGATCCCTCCAAGTTGTCTGCTGACTTCCATATGTGTGAACAGAGAAGAAAGAAAGGAGAAAGAAATACAGAAAGCAGTGAATAGAAAAATGGTTAAGTAATTCTCCAGTTGATGTTCTTACATTCTGTAATGATCACTAGATTACAGGGTCATTATTGATATATGTTACCTTTTCTTCCACCATCAATTCTATCTTTCTATCATAACCTGTGACAACCACACTCCTCTGGAATTTACCTGAATACATGATCCAGAAAACGCAATTGAGTAAAATCGTTTCCAAAATATATCAGTCTGTGTGCCTCCTGTTTTTATTATGCTACTGAGTTATTTTCACATGTATTGTTGAATATAACAAATTGAGAGTTGTCCATTCCTGGGGAGTAGACATGTGTTCATGTTCACTTTCAACAATCAACAATCCATTTTTTTTAGTTGAATCTAGTTTCCCTGTGACTCTTTATATGATTTTTCATTCATTAGTAAGAGTGAAGGAATTTGAATGGAATCAAGGGAAACAAGATTTAGTTTCCTGTTGAAAGAAATTCTGTCTTTGAAACCTGGACCTGTGATATGGAAGGGTTTTAAGCTGCAGGGATAAGAACAATGCATTGAAACATCGTCATGGTGTTCTTACACTAATGATGGTGACAATGGCCTCTACTACTTTGGTTCCTTCTTTCCTATTAATCGAGTTGTGGTCAATTCAGTGCAAGGTTTGGCAGTTGTTTTCTTTAAGGGTTTTTATTCTTTATCGGTAATATGTTCTCTATAGCATCTATTCAACTGTGATGAAATAGTAAAGCATCAGAGGATATGTAAACAAAAGAATGTGTTATTCTGAAATCGAACTCCTCTTATAAAAGCAGGAATTGGGTTAGTTTTGATCCATGGATCATAGTTTGCTAATTACTTAACATATTGTTTACTGATTAAAGTAATATAGCACTTTTTATAGAACTACATTTTAATCATTATGACAATAGTCTTCATTTTGTCATAATGACTTCTATTATGTTATTTCATACTATATTTAGCTCGATTTCCCCAGAAGGTTGAAAAGAATGTATCTCACAAAGAGAATTGAGCTAACTGCTTAATATTTTCCCTAAAATCGAATCCCATGTTCAAGAGTCTTGTATGCATTTCTGTAATAGTGATTATGAGAAGGGCTTCCATAATGATAGTGTGATGGTGATACTGGCAACTCCATTGAGACTAAGAAAGGAAATTTCATCTACAAAGGAGCCTTTATATTTTTAGGAAAAGCTAATTACTTATTTGTCCATAGTGCAGGAATGCCACTGTAATCTAATTGTCCATCTAGGCCACTACTTGATTCCCTATGTGAATAGTCTCTAAACTTGGCTCAGTATTAGGCTTCATTGTTTTCTGGTTCACTCAGCAATAGCTACATCAAATCATCATTGGAATTAATGACAGAATTTGTGAAAATTTGGTCATGGTGCTTTAAATGATACGTATTAAACTCAGTGATTAACCCAGTAATTTGACAATGAATAAAATATATTTAAATAATACATTATGTAAATAAAATATTATTTCAAGCAATTTTAATTAAATTATACATCTGGTAAGATTTCAGTTTTTTAAAAGGTGTTAATTTATATATGAAAATTTATTGAAAAGCCTGTGAAGCAAATATGTTGTAATCACACTCACTGGAGAGTACAATCATAGATCATTTTAACAATAAACAAAATAATACCTCTGGTAGATGCAATTTTTGTTGACTCAAAGAATAATCTTTTTAGCATACCTTTTTGAGATTCCATTATGTAAGAAGAGGGATAACTAAGCAAAGTGGCAGGTGTGTGAGGTTAACTGTGCTTGTTGGATTATTGGAAGAGCTTTGGGCCAAATGTTGCCTTTGGTAGAATTTCATCTGGAACCCAAATCCCATGCATAAAACTCTATCCCAGGGCTGTTTGTCAATAAAGTTTGTTTGGTTTTCCTTGTAAATTTTTGATAACTTTGCCTAATTATTATCCACTGATTATGAATTGCTGTCAATTGATTTTTATATGGTTCTTTTTCCAAGCTAAGTAATTAGCCAGGCTTAGTAATAGAGCAGACATGGGCAGTTTTCTCTTTATCACTCTCAGATCTGTCCTTCCACAGGACTATGATGGATGGGCTGAAATGCATTCCCAGCAAATCTAAACATGACTTCAATATTTATCTGTAATCCAGTATGAAGTATCATATGAGAATTGGTCTTAAGTAACGTCTTTGTATTCATGGTTCTGTGTTGAAGAAGGTCCATCATCCATTTTAAAAGCAGTCCTCCTCTATATCAAGGACTCTCACAACACTGTCTTTTCCACTGCCTCAAAGTTATTCTACAAAACAAATGGCATTTGATAAACCCATAACTTCCTTCTTTGAATTTGAATGGCTGCTGCATATATTTAGTCTTACAATGTTGTATATCAGATCTCACTAAGAAAAATAAAAACAGCTTTTGACTGCCTAAAGCAAACTCTTATTACCTAGCAGAGGAGAGAGATACCGCGAGCAGGAAAAAGGTTTTCCAGGGGAAAATTTATCATTTGGACTACAAATGTGCTTTCTCCTGTATTTCCCTCAAATGTAGGTAATGTGAACCAGTAATCTGTGGTAGTGGGGAACTGTGTTCATGCTCTCCTCTGGTATGTATGTTCTGGGCCTATCATCACATGATTTTCATCCTAGCATGAGGAGGACATGGAGGCAGAGGCAGAGGTGACAGGCTGGTCTATATAGGAAGTTCCACATGAAGCACAGCAGTACAGAAAAAAAGCCAACCTTGTCTCAATTGCTGGATTGTCTCCTCTCCCATGAAAGAGTGAACTCATTGTTAAAGCATAATTCACATAATTCACAAAATAAGACTGTCATGATCAGAAGAGGCTTTAGTCAACAAGCTAATGGAGTTGTATGCAACCTATAAAGTGCCTGGTAGAGATCCCTCCCCATACAATCTCCATGCCAGTTGCTCCATTGTATAACAGAATGGGAATCATCTGCCAATTGGCATAATCCACTGCTTGGCCTTCCTCTGAGTACCCTCTTGACATATGCTCCCTCAGTACTTAAATCAATCACCTAATAAGTGGGATATCTTAGCACATCTGCATACTATCCTTAATCCTAGGAGTTCTATCATGTACTATAGCATTGTGGACCTCATGGAGGCAATTTCTCAACTGAGGCTGCTTTCTCTCTGCTGACTCTAGCTTGTGTCCAGTTGACGTAAAAACCAGCCTGTACACATGACAAACAAAAGGACGTTAGACTTTTCTGTACCAATTGATTCATTATATTCATCAAACTACCACATCACACTTCTTCCAAATAAACAGATTGTGACAGAGTATCTGTGTTTACATTCACTTTTCAGACACAGAAGCAATATTTGGAGTAATAGCTACAGAAAGTCTATTATTTAATTTCAAGCAAGTATAGTCATTTTCTAATAATGTGTTGACATTTTTTCAAGCCCATAACTTTTATCATTGAAGAGTACACTAATTTATTCACTTCCCTGAGGATACACTGTTGCTTTTGTTATTTGACAATGTGTGAACCATCTTGGTGAACTCCCATTGTCCCTTCTTTTTAGAACAACAAATAACACAAAATCAATATGTGGATATTACCAACTCTTAAACCTATTTGTTAAGGTAAGCATTAGGGGCATGGAACACATCTGTATGATGAATCTGAAGACTCATTGTCCTTTTACAGTTGCTTGAAACAGTATTTATTATTTAGAGCTCAGTATACATCAGTCTGAATTCCCTAACGGTAGACTTTTGTATTTTCTTAGATTGGTGATAAATCAAAGCTAGTGAAAAATAATCCCCTAGTCATAAACATTCTGAAAAACATACTGCAGCTTCGTTGAACAAGTCTTTATTTTTTCATAGTTTGTGTGTTGTTACAGGCCATCATTCTTAAGTGGCACTAGCCTCCATTTCCTTTGAGAATCTCATTAGACACCCTGTGGGAATAGTGGCAGCAACTGAGCTCTTTTCATACCAATTACAATAGGATAATTTTAAAATCTAATAAGTGCTTCAGAATCTAGTTTCTCATTATTTAAGAGAACGCAATCATCTGTTCACTACTTCAGACTTCTAAAAGTGAATTGACTCTGATTGGTAACCTTCAGCTGATGCCCATTGTTTTGGTACTGACATATTTCCTCTTGTGCCTATGTGCTGTTTAAATGCTAACCCTCTCACTCTGCTACTCTGTCATACCAAACTCCACTGAAATTACAGCTTCTTTTTTAACATGAATTCTATGTGTCATCACTTCAGCTCACTGCAGACAGCTAAAACATGCTTTTCAAGGAGGCTACACTTATCTTCACCAATATTTATTTCAACAAAGGAGAAACACTGAGATCAAATGGAGTAAATTTGTAGTAAATCCCATTTGTAATTCTCACATTCTTTTAATGACTTGCTTTGAGGTAAATAAGGGCTATAAAATCAGAAATGAAAGCGTCTGCCTATATAATTTCTAGGTATACTTTCATTGTGCTTATTTATTTATTTATTTGTTTGTTTGTTTATTTATTTGCTTCATTTGTTTTAAATCATTCTTGTTCAGGGAATGTGATTTTCCTTAGCACTTAGCTTCAGGGTTTAATCTTGGATCTATAAATCTGTAAGTTATTTCAATTAATATTCTGGTAATTTAAAACCAGTTTCCATCACTATTAAAATGAAAGAAAGTTCATGACTTCTGTTGTTAATGAAATGACACATATTGGTATTGTAATGTAAGTGCCACATTATAAACACATTAAGACATAAGGAAGGATAGAGTGTAGGCATAAAACACATGGATTATAAGAGTATATAATGCTATTTTTGCCTAATGTCAACTCCATTTCCATCACAATTCCTTTTCTAAAAATTTTACTTCCTGTGATAGATATGGGAATTCAAATTTTTGTGTCATAAAATAACAGAAACTGCTTTCAAGCCCCAAAAGGAACCAAAGTGGTTATTCTTTAGGCAGTGATTTTTGAAAATTTAGCTTTCCTTTTTATTCTAATGTTCATTATTGAAAAAGAATTCAACATGGTTAGTCACATTTGCTGCATTGGCCCATTTAAAACAAGGTTTAAAAAACTTCTCAGAGAAGGGTTTTTTTTTTTTTCATTTGAAGCTTTTCCTTTCTGAATTCCGTTTAAAGCAATATCAAATAATTCTTCTATGGTGTTATTTAATATGTAAATTGTATTGTTATTAATAAAATAAAGCATAGGTTTAATGTTGAAAATTTCAATTAAATTTATTTTAAATTTGAGTTATTATTTTGGTTGCTTTGTCAAAATAAAACAACAACAAAAACCCTTAAAGTGAAGGCAGTTCCTGACCATCAGTTGTCCTCTGATATTCAAAGTGAGTGACCCTGCCTCAAAGCACATGGTGGAGATTGATTAAAGAAGAAAGCCAAGGTCAATTTCTAGCTTCTACATGCATGACTTTGTTTAGTCAATTCTAGAAAACTAATATGCATGTGTGATGGGGGAAGTCCTATGTATATGTCAATAAAGCACTGTTGGCCAATGGGGAACCAAGATAGGTGGGACTAGGAGTCCAGGAGGACTCTGGGAAGGAGAAACACAGAGAGTCAAGGTGTAACACCATGGGGTAGGAAGCCCGGAAACCTCTCCGGTAAGAGAAATACTTAGATTAGCAATTATGGGATAAATACTTAAGTCAGAGCTAGCCAGTAAGTGTTAAGAGAAGCTTTTTCTTTGCTGGCTGCTTTGGTTTATCTCCCGCCAGTTGCCTGGGCTCTGCCGCTTTGTAGTCCCCAAATAAACACACAGGAGGCTATATTCATTATGAAGCTGTTGGCCTTGCTTGTCTCTTACTGGCTAGCTCTGACTTAAGTAATTACCCCATAATTGTTAATCTAAGTATTTCTCTTACCGGAGAATAGTTCCGGGCTTCCTACCCCCATGGCGTTACATCTTGACTCTCCCTGTGTTTCTCCTTCCCAGAGTCCTCCTGGACTCATAGTCCTACCTATCTAGATTCCTATTGGCTAGATAGTCTTTATTGACAAATGCACAGGACTTCCCCCAACATCTCCTCTTTTCTGTTTAAACAAAAGGTCTTAACTTTAACATAGTCAAATTATATATAACAGAACAGTTATCAAGTAAAAACATAGTTACAATATTTTAGCAAGATTTAAAGAAAATATCATCCATCCCATCCTTGTGAATCCAAAGTTCCATGTAGCTTATCTTTTATCATAACTAAGGAAAACTGTAAGTATAACTATCTGTCTTCAACTCCATCAAAGACCACAGAAGGATAATATATAAACACTAGGATTGACAGAGATATCTTACTGCCTGGACAGTCACCCGAAGTTCCTCTGTAATGTTGGAGCATCCATCTTCAGCCCATAGGTCATAATGTGTCTGAAACACTTCTCAGCAAAGCAGGAAATTTCAAACTGTCCATCTGCATTGGCAGTCTGTCAGTCATTTTTCTGTGTCTTGCAGAAAGTCCCGTAGCCTCTTCCATGAAGCAGGAACCCTGTAAGACTGAGTTCAGCAGTCACTTTTCTGTGGGTCCTGCATGTCCAGTTTATACAGCAACAGTCAAACAGTACAGGCAAGAGCAGTTTCTTGCCCAAATGGCTAATCTTCCCATGTTGAAAGCAAACTCTGTAACAAGTTTCTTCCATGCCCATCTTCCTCTCATACGTAATTGGTGCTGCCCGGAGCAAACATTTCTCATTGTCAAGAAAAACCCTAAACCATTTTAAATGCCATTTTCTGAAGGTCTTTGAAAGGTTTGAAGACTATCTATCTGTCTCAAATACATCTCTATATATCTAGAAAACCTAACTTACCTAACTATAAATTCTTACTATTATAAGTAACTATCTATAGTCTGTATTCAATTATGCATTACGTTTTAAAAGATCAGATAAGCACAATGCTTAATCAAGAGGAGAAATATACATATCACAAAATTGACCTTGAATTCATATCAATAAAGGAAAAACAATACCCATAACATAATTCCCTATTTTACCATTAAAAAAGATTGGTTGTGATCATTAACCAATTATAAACAACCCCATTTAAATGAAAACAAAGATTTATAAACAAGATGGGAATTAGGACGTCGCTCATTCCAAACTGCTTCCTGCTGGAAGGGGGCGCTGTTCATACCATGGGGATCATGACAAAACTCAGAAAACTGTGTAAGTCCTTATTTTCAGGGTCTGTAAAGCTCCATCATCTTAGCTGTTTCAATTGTTGGAACACCTGGTCCACTGCTTCCGGAGGTCTTGGTTGGTCAAACCACAGAAGTCTGGAAGGAATCCTCAGCTTTTCATTTTCTGTGGAAACATAAACTAAAACTCCTTTTCCGAGTAACATATCCTTATACTTAAATTTTGAAGTCAAGGCATTTTCAAAAGATATAAGTTGAATTAATTCAGCAGCATTTATAAGCAAGTGTACTTTATCAGTCGTTCCTTCCTTAGCAATGAAAAAACTGAAAAACACAATAGCGTACAGTATCCAGACTCTCTGTGTATTTTCCATCTTTGCGTGGCTTATTTATTTATCTATTATTACTTTATTTATTTTACTTTTATTTATTTTTCTTTGAGACA